AAAGCAGAGTAAACCTATAAATTATACCCATTCATTTGCTGCACTGGGATTGGATTATTCTTCAGTAAAACTTCGTTTAGAGCTTTAGAAAAATCAATCAGATATCATTATTCTTTCTGTAAGGTACCCAATTGTGTTTTGGTGACCTCTGCTATCATTTAAATGACCCATTTATGAATTAGTCAGGATGAGCTTCTGCAGCATGGAATTGGACTGTTTGCCCTCTTGTTACTCTCTTTAGATCTCGTAAACACTTTTTACTCCTTTCGTGTGTGTGTGTGTGTGTGTGTGTATGTGTATGTGTTGTAGCTACTTAAGCCCCTGCCCACTTACAATCTATGTAACATAGGTTGGATTCTTGGCTTGCTTACTTTCAAGAAATGATGAAAATGAGATTCTGTTTCTGAAACCCCAAATAGATCACTTTTATGATTTGTTTGTTTCAGGAGTTTTGAGTTTTGATCCACATGTTTATTCAACCTAAATATACCTAGCTCCCAGATACACTTATTTGCCAGTTACTTTCCGGCCCTCTTCATAGTTCTTTGTTTTAGATCTGTGGGGTTGGTTTTGTCTTGTTGCATTTGTATTTCACTTAAAGATATATCTATTATTCAAATATAAAAGTGACTTAGCAAAGAACATCCTAAAGTTTATTTAGAAATTCACCAAGCCACATACTAATGCATCTCTAATAGGGACATTTCTTTTCACACATCTGAGGTGATTGAGCCTGTCCTTTAAAGTGAGATTTGCAAACCAGTGTCTGGCAGCTCCAATTAGCTTCTTTTGGGTTTAAAGCAAATCACAAACAGTAACAAGGTCTCCTAGGACACTCCTATTGCAAGCGATGTAGTCATATTTCCTCATTAGTTCTTTTCAATTGTCACTAATGCCATGTTCTAGCTTTTGAGTAGGAGACAAAAAAACATAAAAATTTGGTATGTATGTAGAATGGGCCATTGTTTTCCATAATTCAAGGCTCTTTTGAATTCCTTTGATAATTTTGAAGCTTACACAGCTTAATTCATTAACCTTTACCCTTCACATAAATCATATGATTAGGAATCTATTGCTAAGGAGACAGATTTTCCCTCCACTGAAAATAAGTAATGCCTTCTTATCTTTGAAAAAAAAATCCTATCTAGCTTACCAAAGTAACCTTTCTATTGCTTTTCATATTTCATCAGATGTTTCAGGTGCATTTTAGAACATTATCAAAAGCAAGTGAGCATAAAGTTACATTATTATCAAAAATATCTCTGGATGCTTAGGATACTTTGGAGCAGTATTTTCTGGCCCTTTTTCTGTATTCCAAAAGAGTTTATATATATATGTATTCAACAGCTGTTACTCAAGAATTTACAATGGTAGCAATGTTGTGGGTTTTTTTTTTTAAATTCTCTTCAGACCCCTGTCAAAACATAAAAGCAGGAAAATAAACTGAGGGTAGGCAATTCAGAATAAATTAAAGTATGTTTAAATGAACCTAAGACTTTTTTTTGGAGAACTTTTTCATATGGACTTACCTTGTAGAGAATGATGATGTAGGGCTCCAAAAAATGTATGTGATTGTTCTGTGATTCCCTGAAGGGGAGACTAGCATGTCTTTTGATTCCTTTATTCTCTCTTGTTAAGACAGATCTCTCTTTAGGGTTTAGTAATCTTAATTGTGCTTGACATTCATGAGCTACTTTAAAAGTATTTGATATTCTTCAGCATTTATCCACTATGCCATTTTCCCATGTTATGAATTTTTCTTAGTTATCTTATACATCGTTACTTTCTGTAAGGACACAGTTCTTTTCCTAAATTTTATAACTCCTTATGTTTTCATACATGAAGTGAGAAATCTTTGAACCTACTGATTCATAGAGAATGGCCATGTGATATTCTGAGCTTTGCCTATAGGAATGATGGGGACAAAGGGTTGGGGAAGAATAGGAAAAATTTGAATTCTATATTGTGAGTTTAGAGACTCATGGCTTGCTCCTATGGACCAAACTAATTCATCACTATGATTAATGAATATTCTTCTATGTAATCTGTGAGTAAGAAAGGTGATGAAGAAGTAAACATTTTACATGTGATCTTTGGTTCTGTCACTCTCCTTCTCACTTCAAGATTATTGCTTTGCCCACATTTCTCTCTTTTATTAGTATCAGTTTATAAATACCTCTTAACTTGCTGTACCTGTAGTCCATACTAAGATTTATGACTTTGTTTTGTGCATACGTACTATACAGCGAACTAGAAATTGCTCTGATTTTAATACACTAAAGGTTATGACTAGAGCCAAGATTCTTTGTAAAACAGCGGAATTATTTAAAGTAAATATGTTCACAGACTTGTGTTATGTACTACTTGTAAACATGTTATAGAATGGACTCTGAAAGTTTCAGGAGAAAAGGATAGTCAGCACCCTCAATCTCTCATCGTGAACTGCTGTCACCACATGCTACCTGGGAAACACGACATAGATGGATTATGAGACTTCAGACACTAGCCAGGAACATGAGGTGGTGTTCCATTTCCACCAATTTGTAGTAATGGGATAATACAAACCACTTCCATTTTCAATTCTTGAAACAACAGCTCCTTTATCTACCTACTGCAACCACTCAATTTTGTGTCTCAATATATATGACGTTTCTGTCCAAAATCACAGAATTTGGCGTTTCTCTTTTCAAATGTAAAATCCATAACAGATGTAAAATTAATATTTTGCTACAGGTTTTCCAAGGGTATGGTTTTGTCACCATGAATTTTTATTTCAGAAATTAATTTTATGCTGTACATGACTGTTAGCACACTGGCTGTGATCAGGGTAATTAAAAGTATTTGGAAAACCCTGTTTACCTGAACTTTCAAGAACAGCAAAAATCCTAGGTGATTCTTTATAGAAAGCAAATTGCTTTTCTCTTATATTTCTCCCTTTTTTATCTGAAAGACACTGCTTACTCTTAATCATGTGTTATCTCTTGGCCACTGTATTGCCTCCTGAGTGGGCTAAATGATTTTATAATAGGTATTCATAATTGTCTACACCTCTTGAACTTTTCTCTGTTCAATATTAGGGAAACCTGATGCTCATGACCTTTTATCAGTTTTTAGGAAGTCTTTATCCAGTGAGTGATCATCTTATTTTATATAAATGTTGGTTCTTGTTGCCTATGTACTAACATTTGACTTGGCTTGTACAGTGAAGTCAATTGTGTCATTTGCTATTTTTAGTCATCTGTGTGTCTTATGTGCTTATAGCATATCTGATGTAAAATCAAGTACAAGGAAGATAAATAGGATATTGCACTTGTTTAGAGCATAATCAAATATAAATCAGGCATTTTGAACTATTCAAATAGAGCATGAGAACAAACTACAATTAATGATTTTTGGTGGCCATGCGAAATATTGGATCTGTTTTTTTGGTAGGTAGTGGAAGAGGACAGTGAGATATGTATATTTGATTTCACTGAAAGTCGTCAGATTATTTTTTAATAATTTAGGATATTACAGTCATCTAGGGCCTTTTTGTGCACTCTTAGCATGTAAAAATAGTTTTTACCATATAAAAGGTTGTTATTGTTGGTAATGTTTCATTTCTGTTTTTATTCTTTTTATAATGAATTTATTTAAATATTATGTAAAAACGAAATGACATGGAATTAGCTTTAAAATTTTCCTCACAACCTGTATCAATCATAATTGCATTGTCTTGCTGTTTTAAGTTTCTCGTTTTAGACATGGAAAAATTTATCCATTTTTTATAGTTTTTTTTTAATAGTGGAAGAAAAAGAATGTTTATTTGGTTATTCTGAGGAAATTTGAAATGTTTATCATTCCATTAAAACAAAATTCCATAAAAATTTTTTAAAAGAAATATATGTCTTCTCTATAACTAATTTAACCTTCAATAATGAATTATGTGAAGTAAAATTGTATAAAATTTCCTGACATTTTATGAAGATTCCTACAAATAAGCCAGACAGCAAATAAAATATAGGAAAGACAGAGATGGATACTGAGTAATTTTTTGATAGATTATGCGCACAGGTATCAAATCACTTGATCCTTACTTCCTAGAAAAGGTTAATGACTCTTTTTGCTTTTACCCTTTTACTTAACTGTTATTTATAAAGATTAAAAGAGGGACTGCATTGAAGGGTGCATTTGCCTGTGTGTCTGTATGACTGCACAAATTTTTCTGATATTATAGGAAACTGAGCCACAAAATGGATAATATTGTTAATCATTATTTTTAAAGTTCATTCAATTCTGTAATACAACTTCCACTAGGCCTATTAGATCAGAGTGCACCATTAAAATAAATTTTTTAACTTAAATGAAACCAGAAAAGACAGTCTTACATATCTATATCTATATTGTTAAATTGGCCTTAACCTTTACAACAACTTATTTACAATATTAAGAATAAGACATTTTAAAGTTATGTGTACATATTTTCTTTCATCTTTAATCTGTAAAATTATAGCTTTTTAGAACATATTTGATATTAAATTGAATAAAATTTTGCAAAAATATTATTTCAGTGTTACCTAATTCCATCATTAATAATTGAGCATATTAACCATGAGCTCATTAACCATGGGTGTATAACCATCTACCTATAATAATAATCTATCTATATTCTACAGTTCTATTATAATTATTTTATTATTTAATTATATAAATAATATATATTCATTAAGCAGCATATGTTTACTAGTCTTTTATTACCAAATGTAACATTACCCTTATGGGAATATTTCTTTCTAAGCTCTTTGGTTTTAAAAGATGCACTAGTCATAAATGTGTTTAAATAAAGTCAGTTAGGTATGACAGCACTTGACTTTAAAGCAGGGAATACAATACCTTTCCTGCAACACCTGGAAAGAAACCGTGGCATTCACCAAATGCTGACCTCTTCCTGTTATATTCAAACCCTTGCTAATTTAACTTGAAATGCATTAGTATAACTCACCACTTTTTGTATGTTTCAGGTGTGTGGAGGTCATTGCAAAGGAAGGACAAAACCTGAAAGAACTATATTTGGTGTCCTGTAAAATCACAGATTATGGTAGGTAATGAACCATTGTCCTAATCCTTTCTAAGAATAAAAAGTTACAAAATCATTGAAAGTTTTTTTAAAAGAAATCAAGAACTATATCTTAGAGACTGTTTATCGTCATTTATGCTCATTCTGACCGTACCAAAAATTAAAAATAAAAAAATTATGAGCTAAGAACCAGAGTAAAATGAATATGCATATTACTTCATTGCCACATGCAATCACACACACATGCACACGTACATTTGCACACACACACACATACACAAAATTAAAAAGTATGGCTAAAAGAGGTATACAATGAAAATAAGTTTAACAATAAATAAGTTTGACAATAAAATGGGCATAATAAATATAACTAAGAAAATTATTACATTGAGTTTATTTGCTTAATGTAATATCATGTCAGAAGCATATCTGCTGACATTCTAAATGCCAAACTTCTTAACGCTTTAAATTCTGAAAAACATTGGAAATGTCCATTTGTGGATATAGGAAGTAAAGGGCATACATTTATATGCAACATTTTAAATTATCTTAATTTTCAATATTCTTTTAAAGTGGCAAAAAGCAAGTTGTTTTCTACAATTATGAAAAATATGAAGTCATATTGTTGGAGTAATAAAAATATCCTAGCCCTTCCTGTTTTTGTTTAATTTTATAAATTTTTTCTTAACCATTTGTGTATTTAATCTAATTACAGAGTTTTAACCAGAAAATACATTAGACTTTATAAGAGAATGAAATGGTTTTCTTTTATTTTTTCTGACTTTTTGATTTCTTCATTTAAATTTGAGAATATGCTTTCTATCTCGAGGGAAGTTAATAATCCATTAAGTTGGTATTGTTAGCTCTGACATGTAATAATAAATGACTCCAGTCCTAGGATGTCACACTGACCATCTGCCATGGATGGGAGAGTTGTCTTTTATTAGCTACTAAATTCATCTTTTTGAAAAACTCTACTGAAGTTATAATTTTAAAAATACTCTAATGTTTTTAATTTAAAAACACACCTGATTTCAGTTTATTTTGGAGAATATGTCTTATTCATAATGTTTCTGGGTTGTGAGTTTTTTTCCTAATTTTGCCTTGTAAAAGTAATGTTTTGATATATTTTTCTTTACTTACGTTGTTTTCTGGATTGGCAATTAGATTGCTACTTAGACATGGTTAACTCTCTAAAACTTCTTATGTCTAGCATTGTCTAGGCCCTGAAGAGTTCTCCCTGACCAACACAGGGCATATTGAGTGAGAGAGAAAGAGTGTGTGTGTATTATATATGTATATTGTATAGATACCCATGTAGATTTGTTAATCAACTAATACTTTCATTCATTCATTTGAAACTTGTCACAGGCTGCTCTTCCAGTCTTTTTGTGTATTTCCCCCTTTTTCACTGCCAATTGTCAGGTAGCTAATAGCCAGGAGTTATGGATTAAATCCCTTATAATGAACTCTTCTGAGGTTCTGCAGTGTAAAATGTTGCTAAAAGCACACTTTATTCTGAAGGCGTAGAGATACTTTGTGTCATAACAAAGGCAGTGCCCAGTACCTACTATTAAGTTATCAAGTACAAAAAGGAATGTTCCAGAAGATATTGAGGAAGGTAAAAAACTCTGGAGTTGTGACAGATCTGGGATCAAGTTCTGTCTTTGTTCTTTGACCTTAGGGAAGTTCCTTCACATATAGGACACTCCGTTTCCTCAGTTGTAAAATGAGGAATTAATGTCTGACTTCATGCTTCTGTATGTATCTGGTACTACCTAACCTTGTGAGTAGCACAGTGTACACTGCTAGTAAGTGTTGTTTTTCTACAGGAGTGGGATAAAAACAAGATTCACTTAGAATTTTTCTGCCACCTTTCCTTTCCTAAGTCTTGGAAGAGGTTTATGTTAAAACCTTACCAATATGGTTTACATTTGTGTCTCTGAATTATTTTATTTCAGTGTTTCTCAACCCTGTCTGCACATTAGACTATCTGAAGAGCTTCTAAAACATTGACATGTAAGCCTCACCTAAAACTAGTCAAATTAGAATTTCTATGAAGTGGGGCCCAACCAGTCGTTTTGTAAAACTTGCCTAAATGAAGATAATGTCAGGCAAAGTTGACAACTGATCTTGTCCGTTTGAGCAGAATCAGAAGTGAAAATTTTGTGGACTTTCCTGTCCATGGTGATAAGAAATTGATTATGATTTTTCTTGCACCTCAGTCCCTCCAGCTCTCAAGCGTCTCCTCCATCTTACCTTCCTTCTTCACTAGAATTTCAAGGATTCAAAAGGTTCATGGTGAAAGTCTTTGCATCTGTTGATTCTGTTCTCCGAAATGTTGGGGCACAATTGAGGAAGAGAGGGAAAGGTTGATAGGTTATGAGATTGTACTACAATTGCTATTTGATTATAAAATTAAATTACTGAAAGCTCAGCTCATCACATCTTTTCACCCACTACAATGCCAATGCTATATGGGTAATTTTTGTCAAAGAGGCAGCAAAAAGCTTATTCATTGTAACCAGAGAAAAGCATGTTATTGAAGGTAACTGCTCTGCTAGAGAGACTCTGTTCCCCCTACCCTATTATTACAAATTCTAAGAAGGAAAAACAGATGCCCTTTTCCTTCTTTGACTGGACAAGTAGAAACATATTCTATAGGACTTTTTGATTATTGAAGCTACTGAGAAATTGTAAAGTTTGATGTACATCTGATAGGTGGGCAATTCATCCTTTAAGAGACTACCCCATGGTTCTGCTTCCTATTGCTTTACTCGTATTCAAGCTGGTGAGTCTGTTTTTGGCCCCCTCTTTCTGTGGTGGTGGATATGTACATTATTTTAGTATGGTATACTGAGATTTTTAATTTTTTTTACAGGCTTCATTGATTCAGAAACAGCTCCTCACCTGGCATATAACTTGTAATTTTTGTCAAGATTCTCACAGGTGTTAAATGTAGTATTATAGTACTTAGTAACACCTGCCCAGGCTATTACGGAGTTATGTTTATTTTAATTGATATATGATATAGTTGTCATAAAGAAAACGATCATGCTAATAGGCTTCTTACTCCCCAAATTGAACATATATCTTTATGGTAAAGGGTAGCAATTATAAACAAATCAATAATTCAGACACAGCTAAATAGAAAATACAGTCTGGGGAAATTGCTCCCTGAAGAGAAATATAATATTGTCATTCCTGTATCACTGTACAAACGTATGTCATTAGCAGTGTTGTGGAAAAAAACTCAAACTTAGGTGTTAGAGAGTTCGAGTAAAATTCCAGCTTTGCCACTTCTTTTCTTTGTAACCTAAAGCAAGTTACTTAACTTCCTAGTTTTGCCATCTGTTAATTCACATGATGATACGTGCCACATACGTTAGCGAAAATCAATATAAAACACTCGTGTAGTGCCTAGTGGCATAGTCGACACTCACTAATTGGCAGTTCGTATCATACAGAATCTTCTTTCTCTCTCCCTCTGAAGAGGAATTAGCCCTTCTCCTCTTCCAAGTGTGGCTTTTCTGTTTGTGGAAATCATTATTTAGAAATTTGACCTACATTAGTGCCTACTTGATCTCCAGAGCTAAGCTAGCTAAACAAGATTATTAGTAAGGAATAGAAAAAGATACAGCAAAAAGTCTAAAACCTTTCATTTGCCTTCCTGTCTTAGACTTCTTACCTATCTCTCCTTTGTGCTTCTTTCATTTTATGTGGATAATTTTCTCATTGCTCCCCTTATGCTCTTCTTTGTTCCTGGAACAATTTGTCAGTGAGTACTTCCCAACCTACTTATTTGCTCAAATTTTTTTTGAAAATTTACTTCCTTCAAGGCTGGGCATAGTGGCTCATGCCTGTAATCCCAGCACTTTGGGAGGCTGAGGCCGGCGGATCACCTGAGGTCAGGAGTTTGAGACCAGCCTGACCAACATAGTGAAACCCTGTCTCTACTAAAAATACAAAATTACCTGGGCATGCTGGCACATGCCTGTAATACCAGCTACTTGGGAGGCAGAGGAAGGAAAATCACTTGAACCTGGGAGGCAGAGGTTGCAGTGAGCCAAGATCATGCTATTGTACTCCAGCCTGGGCGACAAAAGTGAAACACTGTCTCAAAAAAAAAAAAAAAGAAAAGAAAAAGAAAAGAAAATGTACTTCCTTCAGGAAAGTGTATCCTTGGGATTAAGAGGAAGACAAGAAGGAGAAATCAACCTGTATCACTCAGGCCTACGGAGGAAGCGATCTTTCTGTTGGGCCGCATAGCACTTCATATGGTATAATAAATGGGATGGATGAATAAAGTGCTTATTTCCATTAGTGTCTCCACAGTGAGTATTACCATTGTGACCCTTGTGCCAGAGGGCAGTTGTAAAATGACCCAGGTTTCTTTCAGAGTTATCACTTTTTTTTTTTTCACTTTAGCACTCCTGTGGGCCCTAGAAATACACTCTAGAGATATCTTTTTGTTTCCCTTTTTAAGTAGTGAAATAATCTTTGATTAAAGAGGACTGTAAATACATACTGACATTGTTGTTTGGGGGCATACAAGGTCACTGACAACCCACAGGCTCACTCAGTACCACTCCACATCCTTCTGTGTGGTTTCTACAGACCCGTGGACTGCTGTCCTGGGGCTGTCTTTGGCTGCCTCGTATTCTTGATCGCGGTACTGATCTGGGGCTTTTTAACATAACCATGTGGCTTGACAAAACCTTTGAATTGCTCTGGGCAAAAGGTCTTCCAAGTCAAGGAGATCACTTTGTCCATGATTATGATTGGAGATGTCGTTTTAGTTGGGCTGCCATTTGTCAGACATGATAAAAAAAAATTCATTCTGTCAAACATAATATTCTGTCAAAAAGTATTGATTCAGCACCCACTGTGTGTGCTGGACCATGTGCTAGATGCAGATGTTCAGTTTCTGCATTCCTAAAGGGATAATGCTGGTAGGATCCAAAGGATAGGCTAGCCTGCTTATTTAAAAAAAAAAAAAAAGTAATGCATCTTCTTTTCCA